CATCCCGCCTTTGCCAGGGAGAGGGTGGGGGGGTCCTCTTTTTGCCCAGACCCACAACACAACTGTGGGGTCCCGCAGCCGCCCACCAGCCCCAGGCCACCCTTTCCCAGCCCCCATTGATCTGTGGTGGCTTGAAATGATGAACCTGTAAAGAGTGGGATTTAACAGAAAAACCCATAAATGTCCCTTTTGCCTTCCAAAGGAAACACATCAAAGAGCAAAACTCAGCGGTGGCCCCGGCTGAGCCCCCGGATCCCGGCTCTGATGGGTGATGTGTCCATGGGGACCCACCACCCGACACGGTTGATGGAGAGAGGACACCAAACTGGGGAGGAAAACTTTATTTGTAGCCGGCTCCGGCCAGGAGCATGCGGGAACGGTGAATCAATTCTCCTTCATTAGCGCTTAATTTTTCCCCTGATATTATTAATGCTGAGGGCGCATACGAGACCTGGTGAGGGGCTTCTGGAGGCGGCGTGGCCGGGCAGGAGCTGTCTGGGGGATCCAGGCTGGGATACGGGGTTTGGGCTGGGGTTGGAGCAGGGGGATGCCGGGGAAGGTCCGTGTGTCCCGGCATCCCCTGGCGCTGGGGTCCCACCTTTCCAGCCAGTCCCTCCGATGGAACCGTCAGGTGTGATGTGCTCCTTGGTGGGGTGCAGGACATGGCGTGAGACCCCAGGGATGGGAATGGGGTCAGGCTGACCTTGGGGTGCCCTTCCCGGCCCCAAGCCTGGGTTCCCTTGGCCGGGGAGGGGGGAACATACGGGGTGTGTGGGACCCGGTGCTGGGATGGCAAAGGCAGAGGGACCCAGGTGTGTCCCATCCCCATCCTGATGGGTAAAACTGGGCAACCCACCCCCTCATTAGCGATGCTAACGAAGCGCTTACCTGAGACATGCTCTGCTCAGATGGAGGGTTGTCATCAACCTGGGGGAGGGAAGGGGACCCACTGGGTGCCCTGTTGCAGGGAGCACCCCCTCGGCACCCATCCTGCTCGGTGCCCA